AACAGTGCTTCCTGCAGAAGTATATTTCACATACTTCTGCTTTTGGTAATGGCCTCCCTTAAAACAGAAGTTTACAACTGGGACATAGGTATTAGTTGGATTGTGTGGAACAGCTACCAAACAAGCTAACACCACTACTGTAGCGAGCCACGTGCTGGAGAATGTTGTGTTAGTACAGTTTTCACACAACACTCTTGTTGGACGTGCTTGTGCTGCAAGTCTAACCTGGCTCCTACCCATATTACCGTACTGTAGTAGTAGCAGCAGTGATAAGTGCTAGGGTTAGTTTCAGTAGTAGTGAATGGCTTACGTCCCAGGCTTGCCCTGTCTGAGGTTTTCATCCAACTGAAGGCTTTGCCGTGACACTGTAGGCAAATTCACTTGCCTGCCGATCGTCCCCAGATATCCTTTCTGTAGCGGTGCATGGAGGAAATAGCGCATTCTCCCATAACTGATTAGGAAGGAATTCTTAAGCATCTCGGCACAGGAACTACTGTGTGATCTCTGTCAGGCAAATGCAAAAGCTTGTAAAAGTAGGGACAAATACGATACACCAAATGTATAATTTAGACTTCAGTCTAAAGCATTAAATATTTTATAATTTGGCCCATAGGCTCAAGCCTGGGTGCTAGTCACCTGGATTAACCAGAGGCAGTCTCAACCTTCACAGAAAACACAGGGGCAGAAAGTACTGCAAAGATTATCTAGTCCACTCCTCTGCCCCAAGGTGAGATCTCTGTATCTATGTCATACCTGATAGAAGTTTGTCTAACTTGTTCTCGAAGACCTCCAGGGATGGAGATCTTTAAGATCTCTGCAACTTCACCAGACAACTGTTGCACCGATTTCATAAACCTTATAATTAGAAAGTCTTTCTCTTAACATCGCATCTAGAGCTTCCTTGCTACAAATTAAACCTGTTGCTAATTGTCCTCTGACAAGTACTCCTGTATACTGTGAACATGAAGAAGAGATTATTCTGTAGCCCTGCTTTCTCACATGAATTTGATTTCAAGGTAACATAAAGATGGCTGTATTTAAATGGTAGACATAGTATTAAAATTTGATGGCAAGGACTGCAATTATGTGATAAGATGGAGCCAGATTCTTCTTGGAGTTTCAACAAATAGGACAAGAGGCAATGGGTGCAAGTTGGAACATGGGAAACTCCAGTAACCTATAAGAATTTTTTTCTTTTTTTTTTTTCTTTTTCCCCCTTTACCGCAAGAGCGGTCAGATATTGGGACAGGTTGCCCCAGGAACTTGCAGAATCTTTGTGCTTGGAAATACTGAAAATGCAGCTGGATGAAGCCCTGCTCTAACTGGAGCTGCTTTGAGCAGGAGCTTAGACAACATGACCTCCCCAGCCACATTCCTTTCAGCTTAATTTGTTCTGTAGTTCCCTGTCACATCATTTTTCATCCAGTGTGTGAATTCATATAAGTTTTAAAGAAAGTCCCATGAACTTGCTGAATATATGTAGCTGTTCTTACTTAATGTCCCTAATTCTGACTTTATAATTAGTTTTAAGTTCTACAAAAAGTTAGAAATCAAAATTAAGCCCACTGTCTTTGTTAACTGCCTACTTTTCCATATAGCATCGTTTTTTTTCATATTGTCATGGTTTTATTTTATATTGTCTTTATTTGATATGTATGTTAGCTAAGAAATGTCTGCTCAGCCTATGTGTGAATACCTGCTGAATACCTGTGTCTTTGACCTAGTAATTAGAAATCAGAGGGATTCTTTGTCTCTTTGGAGTCAAGGGAGGTGGACTATTACTGCCAACCACGAATTTTTTAAAAACCTGAGAGTTACTTTTTAAAACTGTTGCTGTTGCTGCACACAACAATGAATGAAAGACAAAACCAAAACATTTCTGGAGTTTGCATAATCAGTATTTCTCTTGTGGAACCTGAAAGCAGATCTTTTTCTCTTCGGCTATGATGTAGACTTTTGTTGGAATGGAATTTTATAGCCAGTACATAGCACCTTCTGGTTTCCCAGGACACTTTGTTAAATTAATGGTGTTAACAGCTGTATGTGTTCAGGAAGACATTTCAAGATCATCCTATCTAAAGTCCTGGTAAATCCCTTTGTCATACTGAAGATTCTTAGAACGGATGATCCTGAAATATGCTTCCCTCTCTACTACTACAGTTCTTCAAAGAAAGGATCTTGAGCAGGGAACTTCGTTTCAGGATGGGTGAAAAAATAAAAAGGGCTTAAACCTTGCTCAGTTTGGCACAGAAAACCACCAAGGAGACAGATGAGAAGCAGAAGTGTGGTGCCAGGTGCTATAGCCTGCCCAGAGAATATAAGTACAGGTGGAAATCGTGCTGTCTCACCCCATTCCCAGTGCACGGCCTGCTTGTGCACACCTTCTGCCTTGAAAAGCTGAATTTTACCTTTATTTTTTAATTTATTTTCAAACATTAGGAAACCGTCAAATAAAAGAGAATAAAAATTATTTTGTATTTGTGAAAACATTTTCACTAAAAGGCACTGGAAGTGTAATAGCGGGAGAATTTAGAGGAAAGAACAGAAATAAGACAGACAATTCTGTTCTCTCTGGCTCCATACCAGGAGTAGTAGTAAGGCCGCGATGGTTACATACTGAGAAGTGAGTACCAATTCTTAATCTTTAATCAGAGCTTTACAATAATTTCAGGAGAAAATTCAGAAGGAAGGCATTTTGAAGTAACTCTGCAAATGGTGTAAACAGAAATTTTTAAATTATAAAGTTCACTTTGTCATTCTAGAGACTTTTGCTTGAGTTTACAATTCCTCATAAAGGTGACCTAGCAGAAACTTTATTTCAAATTGTACCTCCTTTTTCTCTAGCTTTTCATTTGAAGTGTTCACCCTTACCACCTTGGTTTTTGTTCTCTTGTCAGAGAAGGTAAGCCTTGATAGTTCCTCAGATTTTAGGAGAACACTAGAGTTTCAGAGAATTTTTGTTCCATCTTTTCTTTCCTCATCTGGCAAATTAAATTTACATTAAGGACTTCTTGGTGTTTCAAGAATTCAAATGGATAAACAAATTTTTAAAGTCCCAGTGCTGAACTTTCAACAGAGGCAGTTGCCTTTCCAGATGTTAAAAAGTCATTGAGTTTAAATAGGTTTATTTTTAAAAATGCAAAACTGATACAGTTTAACTAGAAGTCCCTTCCTGCTGTTTAACTTTTACTCCTGATTATGAAGATGCCATGATTTCATTAGTTTTCTAGTTACTCTTGTCTTCTGAGGTTGTCATGACCTGATTTTTTCATGTCAAAACAAGCAGAGAAAGGAGGATGTGGAAGGAAAACTTCACAGTATAAAAAGCCAAAATATTCAGAGGTTCAAAGCATCGGTTATTTGTAGAGATAGGGAACTCGCCTTTAACTTAAATCCCCCCAAAACCCCAAGGCTGTCTTTTTTAATATTTGGGTTTTTTGCTTTTTCTGATTATTTAAAAGGTAGCATTTAGTTAAACTAAACAGTTTTTTACAATGGTGGAACTCCCTTATGTCATCTCCATCACCACTCTAATTACTGGCATAAATAGGAAAAACCCACTTTGACTGCGTGTTTTTTAAATCTGTTTTTCTCATGAACACTAGCAACGGTGGACTTCTAGGAGTTCTGTGCTTATTGTGTATTTCACTGTCCGATAGTACTTTTCCCTGAATTTTTCTTAATACTGTGCCAGTTTTCTTAAACAAGGCTTGTTCCTAATCTATGTCTCACTAGGTTTCATTAGGTTTCCATATGTATTGCCTCCTGTTGGTTCAGAATGCCGAACTTCTTTGCCTCACAGTAGCTGAAAAAACAAAAGCTTATTTCATGTGTGGATTTAATGTACCTCAGTGTGTCCCACTCATTGCAAACCAGTGAGAGATTACACCAAAGATGCCTTAGCCTCCCAGAGAAGGGAGATCTGCTGAAAAACACGCAGTAGTGACTCATTGTGGGGATGTACTAGTCTGCTAGCAACGCAGGCTATTTCACTGTGGATTTTGTTTTGCGTACAAAATTTACATACTGTATTGCTGTTCAAATTGAATGAGATGCTCATAATTGTAAAATGAAATGCAGGCATTGTAGCCATGTTGAAAGGCCAAAGCTAAGGCTAGGAACATGGTTAATTTTCCAGTATTAGAGGGAGCAGTGCCTAAATGTGCTACTTTGTGCACCTAACACTTTAGTCCGAAACTCTTGAACTATTTTTGCATGCTAGCAAACACAAATTCTAGAATAGTGCTGTGACCGTTTCTCGGATGAGTAAATTGGGCTGTTGGGGTTAAATGGCTTGTTGAAGGTCTCTGGGGTGAATCACTGATGATCCTAAAATCCTGATAGCTGGCCGCCTTCTCTCACAACTGTCGGTAAGATGGGGTGGTTAAAGCGCAGGAGCGTATCCGTGCGATACGCAGAATGTCCTCCATCAGCAGCTCCCAGCGCAGCAGGACAGACGCTCTGTGACAGGTCTCCACGCGGCTGTCTGGAGTTTCTGCTTTGTAGTGAGCGTTCGTTCATGGGGAGTATAATCCGAAATGTCTGGCTGTTGTGGCTGGAAGCTAATTCTTTGTTCACGGAGATCTGTGTTTTAATGCTGTTAATGTTTTCATTTCATTCACTTGTTAGGGCAATAAAAGAGATTGTAGTCTTGGCAGACGGAGGTAACCCCTGCTGAATGAGAACCTCTGGCAATTTGAACTTTTGCCACCCAACTGCTGAGAGTCGGCGGCTACCAGGGCGGCTGTTCCCAGCTGTTACAGGAGGCGAGGCAAACCTGGCAAAGCAATCCCTCTTCAGGGTGCTGTTGTGCTGCTGGACCTGCTCTCTGCGCTTCAGGGGGGCTGTTCACACTGGTAGCAGGCCCTGTGCCTGACTGCATAGGTGCAATTAGGCTTTGGGCGTATGTCTGTGCTACAGTCAGGAGTGGATTACAGCCTGGAAAACATACCTAGTCTACCGTTGAATAAATTAGCTCAGATAAGAATCATGCTTGAGACATGACGTCGTGGGCTTGTCTTCTGAGTCCCGGCTGCCAAGCTTCTCTGCAGCGGTTGCTCCAGCAAGGTGAGACCGCGCTACCCGACTGCACAGTTTGTTACAGCTTCAGTTATCACTGGTCTCTTCAGTCACCTGATTTAAGTCATAATCTTGTTTCACGCTCTGCCGAGCTTCCCCTCTGCACCAGCCTCATTGCATGTGAAGTCACAGGACCATGGGATAATTCAGGTGGAAGGGACCCCAGGATGCCATCTAGCCCAACCTCCTGCTTAAAGCAGGCTCAGCTATAAGGTCAGGCCAGGTTACCCAGGGCTTGCCCAGTGAAACTTTGAATAACGAGTTGCTAAAGGAATAAAAGCTAATTAAAGCTTTATGAAGCATGTCACAAGCAGGAAGGCTCATGGAGAGTGGGAAAGGGCAGGCAAGGGGAAGACTGATGACAGTCCATACACAAAAGGAGCAGAAAGACAACACTAAGGCAGGAAAACTTTTCTCCTTGCATGAGCAAGGATCTCAAAGGGGATCTGGCAGGTAGGTTTTCATCCAAAAACGATTGTTTGCATGGTAAGCCTGAGAAACTGTTCAGATTGCTGTGACACTGGAAGAGGATTTTTTTCCTTTTTTTTTTTTTTTTTTTTTTTTTTTTAGCCAATGACATGAAGTGTAGCTAATCGAGAGTCACTGGTATTCTTCCAGTTTGTGAATATCAAACTGCTCAAACCTAACTGCAACACAGATGCAACTGCTCTGTCGAGGTCAACTATAGGCCCTGACTGTTGAAAACTGGTGGGATATACCAGGGAAAGGATTACTGGGCAAATACCCTATGCCCTTGCCTTTTTTTCCTGAGCGCTTGCTGGGGGCTTCTGTCAGAGATGAGCTCAGAGAGAAGTTAAAGTTATCATGGTGTTGTGTCGTGGAATTGCCGTCATACTGCTGCGTTTGTCAGGCACCAGTGCCTGAAAGCTCCTGCTGTGTTAAAGGCTTACTGGCTTTACCGATCACGTGCTTTCGTCTCATTAATTTGAATATGGCATTATCTTAAAACACAAACTTCAGAAACTGTAGCAGGAACAGTTTTGTTTGTATAATGCCTAAACAGTGGTTCAAACTTTGACTTGGGATTTTATGGGCAAATGATAAAACACCAATAGCTTATGCTGTCTTTTATAGCAAAGGGGAAGTGGAGCATGGGGGGAGAATATATGGAGAGTAGGATTGATTATATTGAAGGGAAAAAAAAGGATTTGCATAGTTTCTTTGCTGGGACTTAATACCCATGTATATCTTCAAGTAAGCACAATGTAAATGTTCTCCGGGGCTTTTTTTATGCAAGACACTATTTATGGTTAAAGGTATGGAAGGACCCTTTCATATTAAAACTTCCTGTTCTTTTGATTTACCAAAAGTTAAGTAAGGAAAGGAAGATTAAAGAGGAAGTAAAGTCTAAATAGATTTCTGTTTCTGGAAACAGAGACTACAAAACAGCTTTTCATGCAGAGCATGAATTATGCTTACAAAGCAGCAGCACAGTCTTTACAAGTGTTATGTCTCAGAGCTGCTAGCGGAAGAATTTCACATGTAGAGATTTAGCCATATTTGAAGTCTCAGTTCCTAATAGAAAAAAAAAACCAGTAGTTCCTGAATACAAATGAGTTTACAAAAAACCAACCAAACCACAACAACAAAAAAAAACAACAAAAAAACATAGTACTAAACTGTTGACAAGTTTTGAATGTAATATTTTCTTTTATAGTTAATGCATTTAGCTGTTAATGTCATCGATATTGTAGTAATTAATATAAATTAATATAACTGTTTATAGCCTATAATGGTTATATCTGCAGAGAAAATAGTAAGATTTGTGTCCACATCCTGCACTGAGATACTCTTTTAAGTCTGACAAATTTGTGTGAATGATACTAATCACAGAACAAGGGAGAAATGCTCTCCCTCACTTAAAGTTGAATCAAAGACTGGTGTTGAAGAATGCTGAGGTATTAATCAAAGTGAAGGAAGAAGCTATGATAGTAGAACTTTGAAGTTGACTATGGTGAATCATTCATGTATTATCCAATTTTGGAAATTAATTTTTTTCTTGTTTCTGTTTTGTATTTCCTTGTGCAAAGTACGTAGTTCCTATGAGATGAAGTTAATTGTTCAAGAGCTTCGTCCCAGGTTTGCATGTTACTTGCATAGTTTGCCTAGTACTGAAGATACCAGCCAGCACTGTGGTACATCAGTAAGCTGCACTGTTGTTGTCTTCATTTCCAAGGGTGGGTTTGGGTAGAGTTGACTTCTAAAGTAGTGAGTCCCTAAATACTACAGGGGTGACTACATCCCTTTGCAACGCATCAGCTATTGATTAGTGCAGCATGTGGGGAAGCAGGTGGGATTTGTCACAGGTGGGATGAAAAAAGGGTAGAGTTTGACTTAGTCCACTTTTGAAAGTTTACTTAAAAGTTTAATGTGGTTGTTTAAGTGTCTTGCCTGTATGAAGAAAATAGAGGTTGTATGGTTTTCTCGAGGACAAATTAGTGCCATTCAGTTTCTTTCCTCACATAAACAATTCCATTTTCAACACATACATCTGATCACTTAATATTAAGCAATCGCATCTACTCTTTGCATGAAAAAGGTGAAAAAATATTGCTTGAAGATTAAAGACCACTGCTCCAGTATCACTAAGTATAACTTGCAAGTTTTTAAGAAATTGCTGTTCACCAAGGATTAAACTGTGTTCATTAAAACACTTTTTTCACCATTAACGTGATCCTAGATGGGCTATTAACAAATAAGCCTACTTGCTCATTTTAGGTTACTTGAAACAGCTGTCTTCATCTTCAAGTTGAAGTAGGGTTTGTGGCCTAATGAAAATAATAGCTCTCTGCTTAGATTGTAGTTGTTAGCCAACTTGAAACAATTACTCTTACCCAAAGGTATTGTTGACACAACTAAAATTTGCATAGAGCTTTTTGTTCATGTTCTCCTTTCCCACTCCTGTTGAGCAGAATAGATTTTATCTAAGAAAAGCTGGGATAACTTGATTCTATTTTAATAAACTGGGTTGAAACTGGGATTGAAGTTACAAGGATTGTACTGTAAAGATCAAATAGGCAGCAATAGCATATGGTACCCACTACAAAGGGAGAGGATGGCAAGGCGGTGCTCCCCAGAAAATTTTAGTCCAGGTAAAAAGCTTTGCGGATTGTGAAGCTGAAAACATGGTTACGTGTGGTATTTGTGAAGCCTACCAGTGAAGCTGCATCATCTTTTTGGGCAGATGGTCTTGGCAGAAGTAGCATGGGCTTGAGCAGCGGTTCTTGGGTCTGTAAGAGAAGCTGACATCAAGGAAATTCAAGGGCATAAATGGAGACAGAGCTTGTCTTGCCCCTGGGGGTAGATGCTCAGCTGAGTTGAGGGAAGAAATGAACAGGTGGTTTAAATGAGGTGGAGCCCTGCATTATTACTAATTATTTTCAGCTAGCTGATAGAGCTGATAGGCAGTTCAGAAGGTCATGAGTGCAGGGGTAGTGGTTTGTAGGACTTTGGCTATATGGAAAACTGTGCCAATTGAACATGGTAGACTATGGAGTTGTGTGAGACTACAAACAGATTTAGAAATAGAGCTGTGCAGTTAATTGCCTGTGAAGTTGAAGGAAAGCTGGCCAAAGGGTGCAACATGGGGTTGCTAAGGACAGCAGGTAGGATTAATCTCTGGCACATGAGTTGAGTTCGTTTTATCTAAATCCTGTTCTTGATTCTTCTGGTTTTTTACAAGTGCAGGTTACCCTATGTTTAAGGCTATAATATGTTTGTGTTTTGCTATGGTGTTCTTGTGTATATTTGCAAGCTGAAAACTGTTCATCTCACAAGCGCGTATAGATTTGTTTGTGAAGCTGTGCTTTTTGATCAGATCAGTCTGAAGTTTGAAAAATTGTTCCTTGCTTCTTCCTCAGCTTTTTTCTGCCAGTTGAAGCAATTGTTCCTCATCTGTCCTTCTGTACATTACTTCCACAGCAGCTGTTTTGTGAATCTTCTAGCCTATGTAGTCCTTTTGGCTTTTTGTAGAATAGGGACCTTTTTAGTACAAAAAGAGAAGAAGAGAGCACAGGGCTCTGATCTTAAAATGAACCTTTAAACAACAGATCTCCTGAAAGGAATATAATGCATAGGAGCAAATTAAAATTAAGGAATTTGGGAATGTGGGAAAATTACAGGAAACATCTTCTTTATGTGCTGCTTGTATTTATCTTAGGTTTGTCAAAATGAAGAGAACCACCATTCCACAGAGGAACTTAGCAAGTCTGAAATCCAGGAGGAGCTGAAAAAGGCTAATAGCCTTCCTAGTTTGACTCCTGGAATCAAAACAACGGATAAAGACAAGCAACCCCGAGAAGGTTTTTTTCATTTTCTTGGAAGCTTATTTAATATTGCAACAAAATCTTCTTTGGTAGAATCTAAACCCTCTACCTTCCAAGATGAACCCAACAGATGTGAAAAGGATTTACAGAACACAAATACCCTTCCGGAGGACGTGCAGCGAAAGCATCCAAAAACTGAAGAGCCTATGTGTTCTACAGCTAGAATAAAAGAGGATTCTGTAAATAAAGATGATGCCATCTCAAATAATATTGGGAAAGATCTCTCACAGGATCTACAAGGAGGCTGGAAACGATCTGCAGATGCACAAAAGTAAGTTTTATAATTTAGTATTAAATATGTTACTGTTTGTGTGTGTGTGTGCACACAGAACTACCTTGACTAATTTCTGCTGGGTGTATGACAAATGACATTCATTTCTAAGGATCGTTGGAGTTTCCCTGACTTCTTGCAAAACTCTAGTAGCAACTACCTTAAATAAATGAGGAGTCGACTGCAACAAAATATAACTTTAAAGAAGGTTTTCTAGAAGTCTCCTGACTATGGGTAGATCCAGTGTAGGTCTGTCTAAGTGTTAAGAGAGGTTAAAGATGTGGCATTTAGAAATACGTGCAGTATTGTACATCTACTTAAAAAAAAAGTGTAAAGAGCTTATTTCCATTCATATTGTGGGCTAAATAAAGGTTTGAATGTTTGTCCTTTTTATATCTCACTAGTTCAGTGATTTTACTTCTGCAAGTAAGGTTTCCTCATTTTCAAATTATCGTTCCTTGTTTGACTTGGTGATTTTTGCTTATGTGTTTTGTTTCCCCTTGTACTTTGAGGTTTTCCTATAATGTAAAGAAGGTTATATAAAATATTCAGTTAGCCTAAATATGTAACATCCTTAACAGTCCTGTAATATTTCCAAAAAAATGGCGCCAAGGGCACCAATGTGTGTTTGAGAGTAGAAAAGCAAAAACATTGGCTGTGGTCCACACCATATGTTACAAAATCTTTCTGACGACGGCATAAACATAAGTAACAGTATTCCAAAACCATTTGTAGCTGTTGCATTGAATATTTGACTATATGTGGGCCAGTACAGCATAGGTTTGGAGTTAGGTGTGTATGTATGCGTGTGGTACCTGTCCAGTTTTTGGTAGGTGTGTAGAATATGGACTTGTCCACAGGCAATGAATCTGTAAGTAATATTTACTCAGGTTCTCAATACTGCCCAGGATATTTATTTCAAATTTAAGCCGGAAGTAATGATTTGGGGTAACCAGTAATTCTATCTCAGTCCTCCTGCTTGTATTGCAGAATGGGAGGATGTACTGAGAAGAAATAACTTTTTTTTTTTTTCTCCTAAGTTTTAAAACTAATTTGAGTTGCGCTCAGTATATTTATCTGTGGCCTGTGAAGTGTTTCACCTCCATATAGGAGGTCAGAGATTCCCAAAGTAGCTGCTTAATGAATTTCACTTCCATATTGAGGATGTCTCCAGCACTCTGTCCTTATTTATTATTATTCAGTAGACTAATGATTTGAGGTGTCTGTCATTCACCTTTATATTATAAATGTAATGGCTGATCAGGATATTAATAGAATCATAGAATGATTTGGATTGGAAGGAATCTTTAAAGGTCATCTACTTCCCTATAAAGATCATCTAACCTTGTCGTAGAAGGCCACCAAATTTGTCAGGCATGATTTGCCCTTAGTGAAGCCATGTTGGCTGTCACGAATCGCCTCCTTATTTTCCATGTGCCTTCGCATAGTTTCCAGGAGGATCTGCTCCATGATCTTGCCAGGTGTAGAGGTGAGACTGACTGGCCTGTAGTTCCTGCGTCTCCCTTTTTTCTCTTTTTAAAAATGGGGGTTATGTTTCCCCTTTTCCAGTCAGTGGGAACTTCACTAGACTGCCACAACTTCTAAAATATGATGGAGAGCCTTCTGTGACTTGGGCGATGTGGCTTGAGCACTTGCCAGTGAAGACTGAGGCAAAAAAGTTATTGAGTACCTCAGCCTTCTCCATATCCTGGGTAACCAGGTCTCCCGTTTCCTGCCCAAGAGGGCCCGCGTTTTCCCTAGTCTTCCTTTTGTCACCGGCATACCTATAGAAGCTTTTCTTGTTGCCCTTGACATCCCTGGCCAGATTTAATTCTATCAGGGCTTTAGCTTTTCTAACCTGATCCCTGACTGCTCAGACAATTTCTCTGTATTCCTCCCAGGCTGCCTGTCCTTGCTTCCACCCTCTGTAGGCTTCCTTCTTGTGTTTGAGTTTGTCCAGGAACTCCTTGTTCATCCATGCAGGCCTCCTGGTGCTTTTGCCTGACTTCTTCTTTGTTGGGATGCATTGCTCCTGAGCTTGGAGGAGGTGATCCTTGAACATTAACCAGCTTTCTTGGGCCCCTCTTCCCTCCAGGGCTTTATCCCATGGTATTCTACCAAGCAGATCCCTGAAGAGGCCAAATTCTGCTCTCCTGAAGTCCAGGGCAGTGACCTTGCCATGTGCCATCCTCAGTGCCCTAAGGATCTTGAGCTCCACTATTTCACGGTCACTGCAGCCAAGGTTGCCCTTGAGCTTCACATTCCCCACCAGTCCCTCCTTGTTGGTGAGAACAAGGTCCAACATAGCACCTGTCCTGGTTGGCTCCTCTATCACCTGGAGAAGGAAGTTGCCATCAACGCATTCCAGGAACCTCCCGGATTGCTTATGCCCTGCTGTGTTGTCCCTCCAACAGATAACAGGGTGGTTGAAGTCCCCCATGAGGACCAGGGCTCATGAACATGAGGCTGCTCCTGTCTGTCTATAGAGGGCCTCATCTGCTTCGTCTTCCTGGTCAGGTGGCCTGTAGCAGACCCCCACTATAATGTCACGTGTCCCTGCCCTCCCTTTAATCCTGACCCATAAGGTCTCGGTCGGCTCCTCATCATCAGGATGTGATACCTATTCAGGTGAACTTAAGACTGTATTTCCACCACCAGAATCCAGTACTGTTTGTAACTAATAATAATAATGTTTGTTCTCGTGAGTGCTCTGGTTTGGTCTGTGATGTGGTCGACTGGTTTTTATTACAGATTCTTATCATAGTACACGTCTGACTGATGCATTTTCCAAACTGCATGTTGCAGCCCAGCACCACCACTTCATTGACTGATATAGAAGAAAATTTCCCCTCCCCTTAGTTGTTATCTGGAGAGGCCTAGGAGCATTATGTTACACAGTTTGTTCAGGAGCTACACTGAATATTTCTTAAAACCTGTTGGACAGGCTGGCTTGCTGCATCAGTCTCCTGCTGCTATTTGCCATTTCTGTAGTATACTCTGGAAACCAGCAGGTAAGTCGCATGCCATTGTGCCAGGGGCTATGCAGAGATACAAGAAAAGTCACTCCTTGCCTCAAAGATAGTTTAGTCAAAAAAGACAGCAGTAGACATTAATAGGTCTTTTTCACTTTTTACTTTGTTCCATGTAGTTTCTTCCATATTGTATCTCAGCATACTTTCTGCTGTACTTTATTCAATTTTTGCTCTTTTTCTCGCTCTCTCCACCCACCGTTACTGATTGTATTATTCAGTTTGCAGTAGTAGTCTGTCCTCTATGCAGGTTTTTTTTCATACTCTCTTCCCCAACAAATTCAGTCCTCTTACATGCTGTACTCCTGTAACTTACCTTGAATCTCTCCTGTGTATTCAGACAAATATGAATCTTGGAGATTCAACTGAAGGCCCAATACATGGTGAACTAAACATGGCAATCGGAGCCTGCAATAAGTGGATGAGAGGCAGCCGTGGTCAGCCCTTACAAAGTCAGTCTTTCTCTTTTTTTTTTTCTTTTTTTTCTCTCCAGTCCCCTGGATGATGCAATAAGGAGCCGGTGCACATCTTTCCTTCCAGGTAGAAACCTCTGACTTTTGCTGGCTTTTCAAAGTGTACGCATGAGCTTTGTTTTGACTTTCCCGTTTTATTGATGCCTACAGGCCTGTGAATAAGAGTGGTAGAAGTGACAGAATGTCTTGAGATTTTTTTTGCTGCTCTGCTCATTTTATACTGCTGCATTTGAGTAGATCTTGAACAGTAAACTGATAAGGTGCTAGGCAGCCTGTGTGCACAGTTTAGAAGGTCAGATGGTCTTAGTCTTCATTTGTTTCTTGTGAATTCTTCTTCAGAACAATGTGGATTAGTAAGTGTGGCATTAATAAAAGCTTACAGAATTCAGAAGGTGTGGGTATTAACTCACTGAAGTGGCCTCCTTGCTCTGTGCAGGTATTTTTGAGTTATTTTCGTTTTCTTGAAATCAAAGTTGCAGTTGGCATATTCAGTTGACTGTATTTTGACATTGTCCTATATTGTTAGATAACCTGTGCAAATCAGTGTAGATTTTTCTCAGTATAGTTTACCTGTCTTATGGTCTGTCAAGCATATAAAAATGCATGTTGCTAGTTTGGAGGTAGGAGTAAGTTGGTCTATATACAGAATGAGGTTTTTCCATGGAAAATTACTTTTTTAAAGGGAAGAAAATTTGTGGGGGTTTCGTTGCAGCTGTTGTAAAATTGGGCAAACATGAAACCAGTCGTTTTCCGTTTAAACTCATTCTCAAAAGTACAGCGTACATTCTGCCCCTTCTGGCTCAGGATACGAACAAGTTAGACAATCTCTGTGTAACTTTTGTGTATGTTTTTCTCTGCATGATTAGACAACGTGAACTGTGTTTCTGAAGCAATTAGTGAAGAGAAATTGAAATGACAATGCAGAAGCAGAGGTTTGCACTGTTTACCTTTTTAAAAGTTTGAATCAAGGGTACCTCTTTTTTTTTTTTCAGTTGTGGAAGTGATTGTGCTGGGTTTGTTCTCTTTTGGTTTATAAAAGTTTAAAGGACGTAGAGAAGTTGTTTTCTCTTCAGTACTAGCTGGCTTCTTTACTAAATATTAACTAACTGGTATTCATTTAGCATGGTTAAACTGTAAAAGTGGTCCTGACTGCTGACGATTGGCTAGATAGTTTTGTAGAAAGTACTAAGAAGTAGTTGGAAGTGGGTGCTAAAAGCACATGAATAAGGGGGGGGGCATGGATACCATGAAGGGACGGTGTCAGCGTGGTCTTTTGCTAATCTGTTGAAGGTTGTGTCCCAAAAGACAGATGAAATATGCTAGTGATCAATATAAATTCAAAGGTACTATTGATTCCATTGACTATTATGTTAAACTGTAATTTTAGCATTTAATGTAGAAGAAAATTGAAACTGAGGGCTTTACAAATCCTTAAGACCACTGCATTATTAATCTTAGTTTCCTTTGTCATGCGGAACACTTAAATGAATTTGTTAAT